CGGTTTTAAAGGGTTAAAATGCTTGATGATTAAAGATCAACTCTTTCCTCATAAAGAGACGTCATTCGACCACCTCGCCTCTGCCCTTAATAACGACTTCTGACACCTCGGTTTATATCAGTAAAGTCGAGGTTTGGCGACCATTAGAAAAGCTGCATTGGCGGAGACCACGCTCACCAACTTCTGACGCAAACCCAGCAGTTTTGTTCCACGAGCTAGTCTGAAATACGACAGAAACTGCTCGGCTCAGAAAGGCGCTTCAAAGGTTACTCTTGGTAAGCTTTAAATGTTTAAAGAGTTTACCAAACCTGTCCTGGTCAGAGCAATGAGCTACTAAGCCAGTACAAGACCCAATGACTCTAACGAGCAGCGAAGAGGTTACAGAGGTGGTAACAAAAGTTCTCTCCTCCTGCAACACGCCTGCACAATCTACGATACATTTACTTAAAATGGGATCATAATCTCAGACAACAGCCATTTCCAGCTGTATGTCGTTAATAATAGAAGGTAATAGAAGATTAATTTTTGGCCTAAAAAGGCTCCCAGACAGTAATCATTGCACTCCCACCTGTTAAAGAACAAGATAAAGGAGTTACTGAATGATTCAAACACTTGGAAGTAAAGCTCAGCTGCTCAAACGAGATCCGTGTATTAATATGACGAGTGTAATATTATGTTAACTGTGTATTATTGTTAAACTGAGACTTTTATGTCCACACCAGTGTGTTACCAACAATCACATTAACAGTACAGACAGTCAGACTAATGCTCATAATGAGGCTGGTAGTGGAGTTTCAGTCACCCAGCTCCATGTCCTGGTCATCAGTCAGGATGAGGATGATGTTTGGTCGGATGTTGCGTCTGTCTCTCTGGAGGCGGGGCTTCAGGCGTTGCGTAGAAGAAAAATGAGCGTGGCAGAGCGCCACGGAGACAAACAGGAAGAGGAGAAGTCGACCCGCCATGGCCTTTGACCCCCGGGCCTCCCCACAAAGGTCAACCAATCAGCTGCTTCCCACAAGTTGTCTCAGCTTCTGGAAAACACACAAAGAGACCGCCTCGAGTTCAGAACCGAGGTTCAAACAAATCTACGTGAGACTAAGCCACCGGTTTACAACGCTCGCCATTTCCAGCTCCATATTTTTATTCCAGACTCCACTTAAAGAATCTTGGCATGATCCAGGACTCAGGATAATCCATATTTATCTTGGTGCCCCCTCAGTTTATGCTCCTATCCTATCAAGGCCACCCTTGATAGACAGCTTTCCTCTGACTTACCGTTCACACACAGAAGATTTGGACAGTCGATGGTGGAGTTTCTGTGCTACCAGTCTAAGATGACCACAGTTTAGTTACCATAGAAGAAGAAATATGTATGAAACAGAGTGTTAGGCGTTTTAGGCTCACGGGAACGGCTTGTGTACTGATATAAAACCTTCAACTGGCCACTGAAAGAGAAGACCTTACAAAAGGATTCACCGTACCAGAACCACATACTGTT